CAAGATATACATATATATATACATATATGTATACATACTACATACATAAATAGATACGTATACAATCATACCTACAAACAGACATACACACATACATACATACATACGTATATGCGCACATACATACACACATACATGCATACGCACATACACATACATACGTACAGGCATACATACATACATACATACCCATACCCATACCCATACCCATACCCATACCCATACCCATACCCATACCCATACCCATACCCATACCCATACCCATACCCATACATGAATGCACACACGCGTTTGGCGTCGTGGCCACGCGCGCGGTGGTGCAGCGGCGCAAGGCCGGGCGAGAGGCACCGCACGCGGACCGGGCCAGCTCACGGAGCAGGGAGATGCCAGATCCACCCACAGGGGGTCGCCCGGCATCATTCGCGAGGGGGCATTCATTGAAGAAAAAACCACATAGACATAATTTTTCGGCGTTCCGCGCGGATTTTCTTGGGTCCGCGCCTGGGCCCCCCGGCGGCGCCTCCGGCGCCGTCCCTGGCGCGCTCCGCGCGCAAGGGAGGGGGGTCCAGCGCGAATCGAAGAAATCCGCGCGGAGCGCCAACAGTTTATGTTTACGTGGTTTTTTCTTCTGATTCAGGGGCAATGCTAAAGGGGGAGATACGCATCACGGGGGACGCATCACCCCGAATTGCCCATTGATCGCCGACAGGGGCCCGATAGTCCCAACCCGCCCAGGAAGGTTCGGATTCACTATCGGGGGCCTGTCGCCGATCTATCGGCGATGTATCGCCGCTTCCAGGTCGATGTGTCCCACCTTATGCCAGTCCCCCCCTCTCGATGCCCCTCGGATACGTGGGGGCAGGGGAAGGGGAAAGACGACACAGGGGCTGGGAGAGCCATGACCATGAACATGCGGAAGGAGCAGTGACGGACCAGTGGCAGGCCGAGGCCGCAAAGCGTGGCGCAGTAGGAGCAGGCTGCAACGGCAGCAGGCCAGGTGGAGACAGCGAGGCAAGCCCGAAGGCAGCGCAGAAGAGCAGCAGGGCAGCGCGGCCGACGAGGCCGAAGAGGAGCGGGCAGTTACCGAGGCCTGGTGAAGAGAGAGCACGAGGGCGGAGAGGCCGCCAGCCCACGGCGCCTGGAGGGAGGGCAGACTGCTGCCCGGGCGGCAAGGGAGGGGCAGAGGGGCTGGCCCCAAGGGAGGGCCAGGCTCGAAGAGGCCAGGCGCCTCGAGCCGCCAGACGCGCGTGGCCATGGGGGCCGGGGCAATTTGGCTGAGGCAGATCCCGAGATGCGATTCAGCTTCGGGAGGACGTTTCGCCAGGATGGTTCACACTGAGAGATAGACTCAACGTACTTGGACACACACACACACACACACACCTTCACACAAGCAATATATTGGTGTAGGGCACGGCACCCTGCTGATCGAGAGTTTGTAGCTGCAGTGGTGGAGCCACCAGAAATCGACAGCTACAAGAATCCACCGCCGCAAGCAGGTTCACACTTGCAGCGCTTGTGGAGTCGATGACCTTTCACGGGTAGGACCTTACCGCCACCACTGGTCCACCCGTTCCCTCCATATTTGTTCGGGTGCTGGGCGACGGCGGCGTGCAAGATGTCGGCCGTCAGCGTTTACGCCAGCGTGCATCGGCGTCACGGGGACCGTACACTGGGGGCACATGCCAAGAAACACCCTGCTTGCCTCCAGCGTGCCCTGGGTTTCTTAGGTTTCGATGGTTTTGCGATGAAGAACGCGACGTTCCCACGCCAAAAATTCATGGACGTCCTGGGGTCTCAGGGTTGGGTTTTTGTGGCAGGTTTCTTGTGGACTGCCTTCGACTGTAGCAGCAATTTGGCTCAAGTTCCGTCCCAAGTTTGGTTCCAGCGGTCTGGCCCCATCTCCCTGGCGCGACGAAAGCGGGGAAGCGCGAGGGTGCTCGGCCCCTCTGGGGCCCCAGATCTGACTAAAACCAGCGCGTTCCCTCCGGCCGGCTCTAAAGACCCGAAGATGGTGGCGATCGGGCGGCGTTTTCGCCCTCGTCCAATGTAGATGTCGGATGCGAGACAGCGGGGCAGGATCTCGACGAGGTGCGCCCTCTCTCGAAGCGGCCATCAAGGAGTGTGGGAGGACTAAGCAGTGGACCTCGGCGTTGCAACTGCTCTGTGAAGCGTCTCAGCTACGTGCGCGAGCCAGCCCAGGCTTGTACACCGCCGCTATCAGCACGTGCGGCAAAGTCGGCCAGTGGCAATGGGCACTCATGCTTCTTGGCGACATGGTTGAAGCAGGACTGAAACCCCACGTCGTCAGCCACTGTGCTGGGATGAGCGCGTGCGAGAAGGCTGGGCGGTGGCTACATGCTCTGCTCCTGTTCAGCAAAATGTGGGGGGATAGGGTGGAGCAGGATACCATCAGCTACAATGCTGGGATCAGCGCGTGCGCTAAAGGTAGGCAGTGGCAACAGGCGCTGTCGCTGATCAGCGAGATGAGGTATGTCAAGTTAGTGCCCAACGTCATCAGCTACTCCATTGGGGTCAGCGCATGCGAGAAAGGTGGGCACTGGGAACACGCTTTGTCATTGTTCATAGAGATGTCTGCTGAAAAGTGTCAGCCCGATGTCATCAGCTACAGCTCTGCAGTCAGCGCGTACGAGAAAGGAGGGCAGTGGCAGCAGGCTCTGTCGCTGTTCATCGAGATGTGTGAGAGTGAAATTGAGCCCGATGTCATCAGCTGCAGCTCTGTAATCAGCGCGTGCGACAAAGGCGGAGAATGGCAGCAGGCTCTGTCGCTGCTCAGCGAGATGCGGGAGGGGAAGCTGGAGCCCGACGCGTTCCGCACAGCGCTTGCAAAACGGATGAGCAGAAGTCCGAGACCACGCTCCACAAGAAGGCGCAAGACCAGTCCGAAATCGGCCCGAGAAGGCCTCAAGGCAGTCCGAGGCGATTCCAAGACGGCCCCGAGATTCTCTAAGCCAGTCCCAAGACCACTCAAAGGTGTTCAAGACCCCGACAGGCCTTCAAAGAAAAGCTCCAAGACACTGGAACCAGGCTACCGAGCTGGCAAACAAGCGTGAAATAGAACGGCACCGTATGCCCTCGCTTTCCAAAAACGGCCTGGGGCAGCCGCTGTCAATGAAAGGACCGGAGAGGTTCCGCGTTACCCTCACTGGGCGCTGCCAGCGCGTTGGTCCCGCGCGGCTCCAGGCGCCCCAAAAATTTGCAGCCCTCATCCCCTGAGGGCGCAATGACAGGGTCAATTCTGATCCGCTGGATCCAATCCGAGATCGAAATTCTCCACATAGGTTTGCCCTCTAGGAGTCCTATCTCAAACACTACTAATTGGTCCGTTGCCACCACCCCCGTAATTCCTATGCCCCCATCCCCTAATGCTTCCCCCCCCTACGTAACTCCTATGCCTATTTTTATTCCTATGCCCGACGCAGCTGCTGGTCTGCACGGTCCAGTACGGCACAGAACAGTGGACTGGAGTGTGCGCGTGTGGAAGACATAATCGTCCTCATCGTCATCATCATCGTCATCATCACCACCATCACCAACTGTCCATTTGGAGTCAACGCTGGCTGATATTTCGGCGGGCCCGATCCCTATTATTCAGCGGTCCGACGCGGCCCGATGCTTGCATGGCGCTGCCGTGCGTTGTGGCGCAGCCGATCCGACCCGGTTTCGATTCCGTGCCGATGCAGCCCGATCCAACACAGCTCTCGAGTTGCTCCAATTGTCCCTGGAGATCTCTGGATCTATCAGGATTTATCTCGATTGACCTCGATTTGCCTGGATGTTCCTCGATTCATCTGCACCTGCCTGGACTTATCTGCCTCGACCCCCACGAGTCGATGGGCGAAACGTCGACAAGCCCTGAGCCCCTTTCGAGCCCCTTCCGAGCCCTTCCGAGCCCCTTCCGAGCCCCTCCGAGCCCCTCCGAGACCCTCCGAACCCCTGATCCTTCGAGACCCCTCGAGCCCCTCCGAGCTCCTGGTTGGCTGCTGGCCGCCCCTGCCAGCACGGGCAGGGCGCGGCTCCCCGAGCCGCCGCCGAGGCCGCCGCCGCGGCCTCGGCGCCCCCGGGCCGCGGGGGCGGGCCGCGGAGCGAGGCGGCCCTGCTCCGCCGCGCGGCAGGGCCCCCGGAGGCCCGCGCACGCCTGCCGCGGGGCAGGGCCCCCGCGGTGGTGCACGGGGCCGCCGGGGCCGACGACGACGACGACGACGACGACGACGACGACGACGACGACGACGCCGACGACGACGTCGACGACGACGACGACGACGACGACGCCGACGACGACGACGCCGACGCCGACGCCGACGCCGACGCCGACGCCGACGACGACGACGACGCCGACGACGACGACTAAACCGACGCCGACGCCGTCGCCGACGCCGACTAAACCGACGCCGACACCGACGCTGACGACTAAGCCGACGCCGACGACCACGACGACGACGACGCCGACGACGGCTGGACTGGTGGACGGCCGAACGCAGTGCCGTGCAAGGGCCATCACGGGTCACCTCGCACGGTGGCGGCGCGGTGGCGCAGGGGGTCCCAGGACGGCTCCATGGCTCGCAGGGGACGAGGCTGCACAGGCATAAATTGTCGAAGGCCCGCGCGAACTGCCTGGACCTGCGCTGGGCCTACCTCGCGGCGCCTCCGGCGGGGGAATAATCCACGTGGACCTCCCAAAGTTTATGGTTGTGTACGTTTGTGTCTCCAAGATCAAGGACCCCCATGAGGATCCCACGACGGCCCAAGGAACCTCAGATGCTTTGCGAAGCGCACCAGCAGGCCCCAAGAGAGGCTCGAAGAGGCATCAAGAGAGGCCCCAGATAGCGAAACTCATCGAAAACAGCCATTTCCGATTCAGCGGGTAAGGCAGTCCCACGGTGGCCTTCGGCGTACATCCAGGCGGCAGCTGCCGTGCCCTCAGTGCAGCCCCTCCCTGGATCCCCCTGCCTCGCTGGCGATGCTCACCACGCCTGCCTGGCTTTTTCCTACAGTCCATCTGGCGTCGGCTCTGTGCCGTTGGGACGGCGTCGGCAGCTCGGCCCCCCTAGCCCGCACACTCCGTTGGGACGGCCCGGGCCTGGCGCCCCACTGGCGACTCGCCCTTCGGTTTCCTCGCCTGAGCGCCCACCCAGCATGATGGACACGTCGGCCCTTGTGCACGTCCACCTCGTCTTTGTGGGTTATGCCTCACGGCATGCACCGAATTTCTCGACATTTTGTCAGGCTGCACGTGCACGAGCTTCCCTGGATGCCCCCAGCTGTCTGCCTCCCACGCAGCCCCGCCGCGGCTTGGTGAGTGGGCCGGCCGGCTTGAGGCGCGTCTTGTAGCTAATTAGCCATGTTCGCAGCCCCGGATTTTGCTTTCACCGCGTGCGCTCTTCGCTCGCGGCCGCGACCGAAAAAAAGTATCCCCCACCAGCCCATCCAGGAACAGATCGCCAGGCAAGTTGCCTTGATCAGGGCAGTGTAGAAGATGCAGTGTGACAACCACCTTGGAAGCGTTTTCTCGAGATCTCTTGAAGCCGTCAAGAGTCTTGGGGCTTTCTGAGGGTCCTCGCGGAGTCTCTTGGGGCACTCTGGGGCCCTTTTGGGGCTCTCTTGGAGTTTTGACGGGGCTCTCTTGGGGTTTTTTGGGGGGGGTCTGCGAGGCCTCTTGGGGCCGTCTTGGTCCCCATGTCTCAAAGAGAGGGAGGCTCAAAAAGGGCGTCTGGGGGCTTTCTTTTGCCCCTCTTGGAGCATTCTGGAGCGCACTTGAGGCCGTCTTGGGGCCCCCTTGGGCCCCTCTTGGGGCTCTCTGGAAGCTTCAAAAAACGATCGGAAACGATGAAGCGAGAACGCAACAAACATTAATTTCCCCGCAGGTGTTTGAAGGACTTGAGCCTATTAGGGGGGTGCCCTGGAAGCCTCGAAGTGCACTTGGAACCTTCTTAGGACTGTCTTGAGGCCTCTTGGAGGTATGTCGGAGACTACCCTGAGCCATCTTCGGCTATTCGAAGCCATCTTGGAAGCGATCTTGGGCTCTCTGAGTCCCTCTTGGAGACATCTTGGGCCGATTTGGACGCTCTAACCCCTCCGTCACTCCCATCCCAGGCTCAGGGGACGGGGGAGGGGGAGGAGTAAGGCCCTCCCCCGAGCAGGCGGAGGATGGATCTTGGCAGAGAGAAAGCAAAACTCGTTAAACCACCAACGCCCATGCAGCGTTACACCATGTCAGCGTTCCAGGGCCACGAATTCCTCCAGGAGGGCTTCGCATGGTCTCAGAATACCCCAACACAGTTCCACGAGAGCCCCAATAAGCTTCCAAGGCGACCCAAAAAGCAGCGGGCACGCAGCATCAGCCAGTATCAAGCAGCAGCACTCAGTAGCACCCAACCGCAGCAACCAGCAGCACGCACCTGCGAACACCAGCCAATAGCGGTGAGAAACAACATGGCGCAGCAAGTAGCAGCAAGCGACGCCAAGCATCAGCCAGCGGCAGCGAGCGGACGAGCAAGCAACCAAGCCATAAGGAAAGGAAGCAGGCGAGCAGACCATGCATCATTTCAGGCCACCAGGCTAGCAACCATGCAAGCAGGACAGTGGACAAGCCGTCCAGCATCCAGCAGGCAGGCCTCCATCGCCCTTCCCTACGAGTACGCTTTCGTGTAAGTTAAGAACTGTTGTTTCGTCATTACAGCTGACTCTGTGTAACAGTTCATAGGGCACACGCTTGCGAAGCACAGGTCACACTGGCTCCAACAGGCCTGAAGGAGCAAACGGTTGCACACGTTTGCCCGTGTGAGTTAAATTTCCATGCATCATCATTGTGCCAAAAGGGGGCACGTTCGTCCCACATGGCCTGCGCTGTGCAGGTTCGCACTCCAGGCAATATGTGCGATGCGAATTCGGCAAAAAGCGTCCGCTCTGTGCACTTCACAAGTTCCCTGGAGGTCCTACGTGCTTTCTAGATCTCAGGGGTCAGGTAACACCTGAACATGTCATTCCACGATGTCGTGTACGGTAGCCCACGGGTCTGGTCAGCTACAGCGCTGGGATCAGCGCGTGCGGCAAAGGCGAGCAGTGGCAGCACGCTGTGCGGTTGCTCAGCGAGGTGCGGGAGGCGAAGCTTGAGCCCGACGTCGTCACGTACAGTGGCGCGATCAGCGCGTGCGATAGCGGCAGCGCGTGGGAGCAGGCTGTGGCACTCCTCAGGGACATGCCCCAGAAAAAAGTAGAGCCAAATGCTTTTAGCTACGATGGCGCTATTCGCGCATGCGCGAGGGACGGGGAGATGCAATTGGCTGTGTCGCTGCTCCAGGAAATGCAGCAAGAGGAGATAGAGCCAAATAGCATCAGTTACAGTGGTGCGATCAGCTCATGCTCGAATCGTGGGGAGTGGCAGCAGGCGCTGTCGCTGCTCAGAGAGATGTGGCAAGAAAAAATAGCGCCAAGCTGTAGCAGCTATAGCGGTACGATTACCTCGTGCGGAAAATCAACGGAATGGCAGCAGGCGCTGTCGGTGGTAGGGGAAATGTTGCAAGAGGAGGTAGAGCCAAGCTGCACCAGCTACACCAGTGCGATCGCAGCGTGTGGGGAAGGCAGCGAGTGGGAGCAGGCGCTCTCCCTGCTAGGGGACATGCAGCAGCAGAAGGTAGAGTCGAGCTGCCCAAGTTACAGCAGTGCGATCAGAGCGTGTGGGGAGGGTAGCGAGTGGCCGCGGGCGATTTCGCTGCTAGGAGACATGCCGCAACAGAAGGTAGAGCCAAGCTGCATCAGCTACAACTGTGCGATCGTAGCGTGCGGGGCAGGCAGCGAGTGGGAGCTGGCGCTGTCTCTGCTAGGGAACATGCGGCAGCAGAAGGTAGAGCCAAGCTGCATCAGCTACAACAGTGCGATCGGAGCGTGCGGGGCAGGCAGCGAGTGGCAGCAAGCGATGTCGCTCTTAAGGAACATGCCGCAGCAGAAGGTAGAGCCAAGCTGCATCAGCTACAGCAGTGCGATCAGAGCGTGCGGGACAGGCAGCGAGTGGCAGCTGGCGCTGTCTCTGCTAGGGGACATGCCGCAGCAGAAGATTGAGAGAAGCTGCATCAGCTACAGCGGTACGATCAGAGCGTGTGGGGAAGTCAGCGAGTGGCAGCTTGCGCTGTCGCTGCTCCGAGAGATGCGACAGGAGAAGGTGGAGCCAGACACGGGCCACCACTGCAACACCGCCCCGTGCGCGCAGGCAACCGCGTGTCGCGCCCCGCGGTCCAGGTGGGAAGGCCGCTCCTCGCCAGGTGGCAGCGCGAGAGCGGATGGCAACTGCGCATCCGTGAGCGGCGCGAGATTGAGCGATGTGTGTGTGCGCGCGAGAAACGGGCCAAGTTGGAACCCCCGGTCGGGCCCGCAGGGTCCAGTTCGACCTGATGGATCCGATTCGATGTCGTTCCTGGCCGGCCCACTGCGCTTCGATCCCGATGTTGCAACGATCCGGTGCGGCCCAGGCTTGCACGGCGTTGTTGTACATCTGGGCGTTGCCGATCTGAGTCGATTTCGATTCCCTGCCGATGCAGCCTGGTCCGACGCACGTTTCGGTCATGTCCGATCTCCCGGTCCGGTGCTGACCGACCCGGGCCCAGGGGCCCCCCCCGAGATCCGGCGCCTTGGAACGACCACACAGCTCCCGTGGCACGTGTCGAGCTGGACCGACTCGCGAGGGCCCCAGCGCCCTCCGACGGCGCGGTTTCTGGTCAGCATGGACCCCCTGGGAGCCTGGACCCTTTCCCCGGGACCAGCCTTTCGTCCTGAACGTGTTCGTTGACGGCCTGAGGGCCCGACGAGGGCTTCCAGGGGCCGAAAGTGGTCAGAGAGGGCCCGTCGTGGCTCGTTCGCAGCGCGAGGTGGCCTGGGGAGCTGAGGCAGCCACGCGCCGATCGTGATTTCTCCGCCCCACCCAGATCTCGGGCGGACGGCAGTTTTGGTTCGTTCCCTTGGGCCTGGGTCAGGGGCTGCGGCTCGCAGGCTGGAGGGGTTCAAGTAGGCCCCACGGGGTTTATACCCTTTCGGCCTGTGGTGTTCTCCTCCTCGAGACTTGGGGGCATCGAGCATTGCAGGAGAGTGACCCTAAGAGTGTGCTTGGTAGCCCCTGGGCTGCCACCGCGGGCCGAAAAGTTGCACGACAGGTGCACGCTTCTGCACACCCCGTGCGTTGCCCCCCCTCCCCCCGCAGCAGGTGAGCCTCCTTTCCTCCCCCTCCTCCTCCTCCTCCTCCTCCTCCTCCTCCTCCTCCTCCTCCTCCTCCTCCTCCTCCTCCTCCTCCTCCTCCTCCTCCTCCTCCTCCTCCTTTCCTCCTTTCCTCCTCCTCCTCCTCCTCCTCCTCCTCCTCCTCCTCCTCCTCCTCCTCCTGCTCCTCCCTCCTCCTCCTCCTCCTCCTCCTCCTCCTCCTCCTCCTCCTCCTCCTCCTCCTCCTCCTCCTCCTCCTCCTCCTGCTCCTCCTCCTCCTCCTCCTCCTCCCTCCTCCCTCCTCCTCTCCTCCTCCCTCCCCTCTCCTCCTCCTCCTCCTCCCTCCCTCCTCCTCCCTCCCTCCCTCCCTCCCTCCTCCCTCCCTCCCTCCCTCCCTCCCTCCCTCCCTCCCTCCCTCCCTCCCTCCCTCCCTCCCTCCCTCCCTCCCTCCCTCCGCCTCCCTGCTCCTGCTCCTCCTCCTCCTCCTCCTCCTCCTCCTCCTCCTCCTCCTCCCTCCTCCTCCTCCTCCTCCTCCTCCTCCTCCTCCTCCTCCTCCTCCTCCTCCTGCCACCCTGGTCTGTTGACGAAGATTTTTGATTTTTGGTCAGCCGCGCAGGCGGACGCCAGCGCGGTCGATCAGCCAGCGGGCCGCGCCAGGGCAGAGGCACACTAGCGCTCGTTTTTCCGTGTTCGTCGCTTTGCCGATCAGCGTGGGCTTTCGAACCCTCTCTCCTCCACCCCCCCCTCCCCCATGGAGTACACATTGTTTATTTCTAAGTATTCGCAAGTCCTTTGATTTTCAGGGGACCGAGATCCTTTCATTTCTAATTGTTCTATCCTGGGCCTCTTCCTGGCCACTATGGGGCCAGGAACAGTCAGAAACGAGCACAATTAGAAATGAGCACGATTAGAAATGAACGACGTGTCGATCTTGGCCTTGGCTGTTCTTGGCGCCTGTTTCGAGCAGGTGGAGTCTCCCCCATGGGGCGCACTGTTGCAGACGGACGCATTTAGTCAACTATAGAGGTCCAGAGCCAGACCCCCCCACCCTCCCCCTCTTTCCGCCCAATGCCGAAACGCCGAGTGAAGAAAAACGCTCACCTATCACCTAGACAAGTGGAAAAGAGGAAGGCGGCCGCGGAGGGGGCAACGCGGGGTAAGGCCTCGGGCGTAGAAAATCTTCGCCGACGGGGAGCGCGGAGGCGGCATCAGGCACTTGAAAACGGGTGGATTGGAAGGTGAGCGATTAGCGCAAGTTGCCGCAGGAGAGGGTGGCGAAGGCCCCTGTTCCTTGGCAGCGCTCGGACGTGTGCATTTTTTTTCGCGGCGTGGACCACCGAGGAGCATCCTGCAGCATCTTGCGAGAAAGAGGGCGCACGAGGCCGAAAAGCGCACGGGGAATGGACGTCCGAGCGATGGCAAGGTGGACGAACACCCGAAGACCTGAGGGCCCCTCCGGGCGGCCCAGGGCTCCGCGGGCCGTCGCCCAAGCGGACGCCACCTCCGCGAGCGCCCGTTCGGGGCTCTCGCGAGCGTGCCAGGAGGACGCCCTTCGCGCGGTGCCCCTGCGTGCGTGTGGATTCGGGTGCCCTCGGTCGGGGGCGTCCCAGTGGGGGGGGAGGATTGCAGTTAGTAGGTTACCTCCCTCACAGGGCTAGACCGCCCGGTCCGGCAGTCGTTTCGCCTGAGATTTCTTCGCCGTGTATTCAAGAGGCTTACGCCATTCCGCCGACCCCCAGAAGAGGCGGGAGGTCCAGGGTTGAGGCGTCGTCGGCTTCTTGGGCATTGTCTGGACACTCTTTTGGGGCGTCTTGGGAGCTGCTTGGGGACCTGCTGGAGCCTCGTGGAGGCAGTTTTGAAGCGTCTTGGGGCCCGTTGTGGGGCCGCGTTTGGGCCTTATGGGGCCTCCTGGAGCTTATTCGGGGCCTCTGTTGGGCCGCTTGGGAGATTCTTGGGGCTTTTGATAGGATGTTCGGTTCGCGTTCTCCCTTTTTGGCCTATCTTTGGACCCTCTTGGGGCGATCTTTGGACGTCTCATGCCCCTCTCACGGCAGTCTTCGCACCCTCTGCAGCCTTCTTGGGGCCCTCATAGGTGCCTCTTGTGCCGTTTTGGGGCGGTCTGCGGGGCCTCTTGGGCCGTCTTGAAGCGTCGGAATATCGAGAAAACGAGAACTCCAGAAGCAATGAAAAACTTCAGCAAACCCATTATTTTTCCGTTCCAGGCCCTCTTGGAAAGGCCCTTGGGGCGTCTCGAAAGTGTCTTTGGGTTAGGGAACTCTTGGGGCCTCCTTTGGGGATCTTTGGGATCTTGGGGGCTTTGGGGGCCTCTTGGGGGCCTTTGGAGCCGTATTGGGGCCCTCTTGGGCCATTTTCGACGCTTCTTGGGCTGGCTGTCTAGGGGCACGCTTGGGCCGTTTTGGAGCTCTCTTGCAGGCCTCTTGGGCCACATTCGGACGGTCTTGGGAGCCTCCGTGTGGGGGCGTCGGGAAGCCGGAAAGGCGAGAACGCCAAAGTCCTTCAGAAACTCTTACGTGAAATCGATGATTTGGGCTTCTTGGGGCCCCCTTGTAAAGCCTCTTGGAGGCGGCTTAGGGTGTCTTGGGACTCTTGGGCCATCGTTGGCCCATTTAAGGCGTCTTGGAGCGATAATTCATCGACTCGAGGCCGTCTTGGGCCGTCTTGAGGGCCTATGAAGGCCCTCTTGGTCTGTTTTGGGGCCCTCGCGGGCCCGAAAATTCAAGCGGGAAGCCGCGGCAAACCCGAGGGGTGAACGCGCCAAGCCAAAGAAGATTTGAGAATGTGGGGTCCTGGCCCCCTCTTCAGGACTGAAGAATGAGGCTCAGGGGATTGGGCAAAAGACCTGAGGACACGCCAACTCCGTGCCCAGAGGCACGATGGCGGATTATTGTTGTCAGTAGTACCATTCACTTTTTATTATGAACAACAGTAGCACTAGCAATAATAGTGTGCGTAGTATGATTAGTATAACCAGTAGTATGTGGATTACCAGTGTTCCCATTTGGTTTATGATAACTAGTATTATTCGAGTGTGTGTATCATTGTTGTTAGTATTGTAAGTACTATTAGTTGTATAATTGCTGTGCTGATATGATGAGGAGTGTCCGTTTTACTAGTCTTCTTGATAGTAGCATGTTTGTTAGCATCACCGTTTGTACATGTTTGGCTGTGCATCATTATTCGCATGTTTGTGTGATCAGCCTTATTATTGGTGTTCGCATGTGTATTAGTAATGTTTTGATTAGCCTTGGCGTTCGTATCATCAATATTCTGCTGCATAGTATTATGTGTAGTCGGATTGTTCATATTATTATTTGCCTTATTGTTGGGATTAGTTGATTATTGGTATTACCCATTGCTTCTTTTTCGTTATGAGTATTAGTATTATTATTCGTGCCCGTATTAGGTTCCTTTCTTATTGATATCAGTATTCATTATTAGTAGCAGTATGATCCTCAGGCTTCTTATTACTAGGATTATTACTACGACTGCTGCTGAATAGTACTATCATTCGCATCCTCTTTTATTACTAGTAAGGTTACCCTCCGTATTTTTATTATTATCATTTTTATTCCCATTTTCGTTTGTGTGTGCCCTTACCTCCGGCGCTGCCCGCCTCCTGCCCTAACGCGCTGAGCGCTTGCCCTCGCCGCTGACAAAACAGTGTGCGCATGTGCCTTGCCTCTCTCGCCGCCGTGTTCCTGGTCTTTATTCTCGTTTCCGCTCGCTGCTTTCTGCGACCCGCACCGATGTGACCGCCACGATGCTAGACGCGTGGCCGCCGAGGTACAAGTGTGCACATGTGTTTGTGTACGCGTGTGCGTGCGTGTGGGTGTGAGGCGTTGCTCTGGCTTTCGCTTTCTGGACGCGGCGCTCTTATGTATGGTCCAAGGCAGGCCCCCCCCCATGCTAATGGATTCGCTCCCCTCCCCCAATATGATGAGCATTCCCGCACACTCCCTGTGGGTGTGGGGTGGTGCCGCGAAGTTCTCCCCCCCCCTTGGTGGGCATGGGGTGATGCGGTGGCCCTGGGGTGATCGCCTTCCTTTTCTGGATGTGGAGTGGCGCGGTGGCCCCCCCTTTCTGCGGGGGAGAGGGGGGCGGCATCGTCATCGTCGTCGTCGCTCCCCTTGCCGTCCTCTCTTCGAGCTGCAATAGGACGCGACATCGCTGTCATCGTCGTCGTCGCCGTCGCCGTCGTCGTCGTCGTCGTCGTCGTGACCCCCCTCCCATCCAGGGATGGGGCGTCGCGGGGCCCTGGGACACATCCCATCTGGGGGAAGGGGGCCCTTGGGCCCAGGGCCCAGGAACACGTATGCTTCTCGTTCATCCTCTTCCTGTCGTGCGTTGTCGCTCGTTTGTCTCTCCTCTGCCGGCCGCTCCCTTTTGTCCCTTTAGTCCGTTGTCGTGGTCTTATCGTATTCCCTCCTCCTGCTTCGGCTACGGCCTGTCTGCTGCATGTCATCCGATTACCCTTTTCTACCTTGCAGCTCTCGCCCTCAGCCGGAGCCCACGGACGGCTTCGGCCTGAGCGCGCCCGCCACACATGCCATTGCAATCTACGCCACCGCGGCCCCTTTGCATATGGCTGGTTGTTGCTGCAACGTCGCGGCGGAGGAAGGTTGCGGCGCAGGTGGGCGGGCGGGCGGGCGCGCGCGTGCGCGCGCGTAAGTGTGCGTAAGTCTGCGTGCGCTCCCGTGCCGCCCTCAGACGGCCTGGCCGCCTCTCTTGCGGGCACGCGCGCCTGGGCCCTCACCGTTGTGTGAGTGGCGCGGAACGGCTCGGGGGTAGGCCCCGTCGGGCTGCTCCCCAGCCACCCCTGGCTGGGACCCCCCGGGGCCCAGTCGCGCGATGGCGCGCCGCGTGCGAGGCCAGCGAGGGCTCGCGATGTTGCCTGCGCCCCCCGATGTCGCCGGTGTCTCCTGTCCCTCTCTGCGGCTTACCTCCCCGCCTGCCCCGCCCTCGCAGTGTCTCTGCCGTGGCGCCGTGCCTCCACTTGCAGTCGCCGCCTCGTCCTGCCGCTGCCGCCTGGTGCTGTTCGCTTCCTCTCCTTCCCGCCCCGCCCGCTTCGCCTCTGGGCCGTCGCTGCCGTGCCGTGCCCCCCTGTCGGCCGCTCTTCAGTGTCGTCGTCATTTGTCTATCCGCCCTGGCTGCACCAGCCGCACGCTTCGGATCTGCCTCTTCTCCGACGGTGTGACCGGCGCGTCACAGAACGAGCGTTCGCCTAAAGGAAAAAAGTGCGCGTGCGCGCGTTGCTGCGCTTATGCGCTAGCCCAGTGTGGCCACGCTCCCTTCCCTTCTCTGCAGCTTTGCGCTCCTGCCGTTCTGCAGTTCTCCGCGTCCTGCCGCCCCCTCCACCGTGCAGCTCGACCGGCAGCCCAGCGAGTTGGGTTTTCAGCCCGGGCGCATTTTCCGCACCCGGTTGGCGTCGTCGTCCCGCACCGCCGTCTCCATCTGCGGGCATTGCCTCAATCTTCTCCCTCCCCCACCCTGCCCAGGTGGCACGTCCGGTCGATCCAAAGATGCAAAGTGGTCCCGCGATTGAGGGCCCGGCCGCGCGCATTAGCCCCTTGCCGCCTGCTCCTTTTGCTCCGCCTCGTCGCTGCGCGCGAAGCCGCGACCGCCAAGAAGTGTGTGCGTGCGTGCGCGTGCGCGTGTGCGTGCGTGCGTGCGCGCGCGTGCGCGTGTCGTTTGCGGGCGTGTGCGTGCGCGCCCATGGCTCACCTCGTTCGTCTCGTCACGACTCATGCAAAGTAGAAGTGGCCCTTCTGAATACGAAATCGAGAACCGTTGGTCGGTCCATCCGTGTTGCTCTTGGCAGCTACACTGTTGGAATGAGCGCGTGCGGGAAAGGCGAGCAGTGGCAGCAGGCTCTGTCGCTGTTCAGTGCCATGTCGAAGGAGAGGCTGCAAGCCGACGCCGGAAGCTATGGTGCTGCAGTACACGCATGCTATCATTAAGTCGGGCCCGTCCCTCTACAGGAGGAATATTCAAAAATTGTCAAAAAAATAGGTTGGGGATTATCTACTTATTTATTCATGTATATATATATATAAATACATACATATATATACACACATATATATATATTGACAATTTGGGAGTATCTTTCAGCATTTTTTATTGATCGTCGAAAATCCCCCTGTAGGGGGACACGCCCGACTTAATGCTCTCAGTGCGGGCAGTGGCAGCAGGTCCTGCCGTGGCTGAGGGGGGCGCAGGGGGCCAAGATGGAGCCAGACGTCGGCATGTACAGCGCTGGCATCGGCGCCTGCGGCAGAGAGGCAAACTGGCAGCAGGCTCTGTGGCTGCTCGCCGAGATGCTGCAGGATGAGGTGCATCCCGATGTCAGATGCTACTGCTCTGGAATCAGCGCGTGCGATCGCAGCGGGGAGTGGCAGCAGGCTATGTCGTTGCTTGGCGGGATGCGGGAGGCGGAGGTGGAGCCCGACTCATCCTAGTCTTCATTGCTTGGACCCTCGAGCCCGAGATTGTAACACGCAGTAGCTCGCCCCCAGCCCCCGCTTCCGCTTGGGTGACTTCGCTCTGATCGCTTCGCCAATCCGGGCGATCAGAGGCTTGTCGGCTTGCCCTAAGTCGGCCCCGAAGATGCCGTGGAGATCCCCGAGACCCTCCCAGACGACCCTGAGATCCTCCCAGGCGGGCGTCAGATGTCGAAAGGCTCTCTTTACCAAGAGTCTTCCAAGACGGCTTCAAGAGGCTTCGAAAATAAAACATTGAATTGGAGATTGGTGGGCAGAGCGCAACCAGAGCATCAGTTTCTATTCGTGTAATGCGTCCGGGCGAGGCGCAGCTGTGCAAGGGCGAGGATGATCTTGCCCTAGCTAGGCACAGGTCGAGTTAACATGGCTCGCGCTAAACCTAGGCGTCCCCCAGGTTGCTCCGCGGTTGTCTCGTGGTTGTCTTGTGGCGTGCCTGGGATTGTCCCGTTGTCGTCGCGTGGTTGTGTTGTCTTGCGGTTGTTCCGTCTGTGGGTACATAGTGAGCTCGATAGGTACAAAGTGAGATCGAAAGATAGAGTAATAGGGATATCGGTGAATTCAATATGAGTCATATAGAGAGCAACGACGATACATGCTCCCGTGTGCCAACACGAAAGTGTAATTTTTCTCTCTGCCCGACGCCTGTGGCCATTTGGATTCAGACGATCGGCCAAATTCGAATAACGATTGGGGGCAGATGCTGGCCGTTGGGCCGTGCGCCCTCGACGCCGTGCGGCGGCGGGTCCGCAAAGTGTCCCATGAATAGGGCATCCTCGACCCGCGCCTGGCGCTCCAGGCGGACGAGACCGAGTTCGATGGAACACCCGAGCAGGTGTCGGCAGCCGCGAACCTCAGCGCAGAGGAAGCGCGGCGGCCGTTGAGGGAGTTCGTGGACCAGGCAGTGGCCCCAGGAGCTGGTGCAAAATCAGTTGGGGGGCGCTCCATGGTTGCCCAGGGTGGGCCATGTTGGAGGACGCCGTGGCGAAGCTCACTGCGCTGACCAGCCGAGGAGCGTCCGGGGCTCCGCCGCTGCCGGGGGCCCGCGCGATGGCGGGGGCCCGCTTCGCGCGGAGGTGCCGCGCGGCAGCGGAGGACGGCCGTCGCGGGCTGGAGGCGCAAGAGTGGGTTCAGTGGAAGCCGCGCCTGATCATGCTGCTCGAAGAGATGGGAGCGCCCTCGCTGGAGACGGCGCGGACCTGCACGGACCCGGAGCGGGCAAAGAACGGCGGCACCACGGGCCGCACGCGCATCAACACGGTGAGGTCGCACGCGCGGGCCGTGGAGACGGCGCGCAGGTGGCTCTTGCGCGCGCACGGTGCCCCGTGGCCCGTGACGATCGCACATTACATCGACTACGTGCACGCCAAGGCCGCCGAGCCGCGCGGGCAGGCAGTGCCCAAACAGGCCTTGCGCGCCATGGTGTGGACGGAGCGCGGGGCGGGCGTGGACCAGAACGACAGACTCCTCGCTCGGCCCGAGGCCTAACAGGTCGCCGCGCACGCGAAGATGTTCCTCGGCGGTGGCTCGCCCCCACCCCACCACCACACCACATCCAAAAATATTACCAGTGAGTGGCTCGTGCATTGTGTCCGACGTCTTGGCGACCTCCGCGAGCAATTCAGTGCGAAGAGCCTCGATCTGCGACTGAAGGTCAAACTGCTCCACATCTGAATCAACTGCCGCGCCTGCTGCTGCTTGACGTTTACTAGCCGGCCGCTCTGCGGTTGATCGGGAGTTTCTGCATTGAGAAGAACGGGCGCGCGCTGGAAAATGACCGAGATGAGAATGAGCGCGAGGCTCAGGAGGACGAGGCTCGCGAGGGGGAGGATCATGAGAGCGAGGGTACAGCGGGTGAGGATCAGGCGAGCGTGGAGCAGGAGGGTGACGATGTGGAGAATGAGGGCCAGGAAATCGAGGATGGCGAGAGTGAGAATCAGGAGGGTGAGGATCGGGCGGGCGTGGCGCCCCCCGCTGCCATGCTGGCCAATATCCACCACCACCACCTCCTCCTCCTCCTCCTCCTCCTCCTCCTCCTCCTTCTCCCTTCTCCTTCTCCTCCTCCTCTTCCTGCTCCTCCTCCTCCTCCTCATCCTGCTCCTCCTCCTCCTCCTCCTCCTTCTCTTCCTCCTCCTCCTCCTCCTCCTCCTCCTCCTCCTCCTCTTCCTCCTCCTCCAACTTTCCTCGTCCTCCTCCACGTCGTCCTCCTCCTCCCTCTCCTTTTTTTCCTCCTCGTCCTTTTCCCCCCCCGGGGATCCCCCCGATCTTTCACGAATCGGAACAAGGGAGCCTCTCAGCGCCTCCTTGGGAAGCTCCGGGAACGGTTTCTTGAAGATGTCCCGCGCCAGGGCGCAAGTTTGGAATTCCTCGCCAGATTTCCCTGATCTCGCCGGATTTCCCAAATTTCGCCAGAAACGGAAGCCTCTTCGGGGAGGCTCCAGGAGCTGGTTTTTCTGAGGATGACAGACACGCGAAGACGCCGGATTCGTCGCTGGATGCGTTGGATTTCCCAGATCTCGCCGGAACCAGACAGGGGGGCCTTTGAGGGCCTCCTTGGTGAGGCTCCAGCCACGCGAGGGCGCCGGTTTGGAATTCGTCGCCGGATTCGCTGGATTTCCCGGATCTCGCAGGAAACGGAACAGGGGGGTCTCTGAGGGCATCATTGGGGAGGCTTTGGGGGCCAGTTTTTTTGAGGATGTCCAACGCGAGAACGCCGGTTAGGAATTCGTCGCTGGATCCGCTGGATTCCCACGATCTGGCCTGAAACGGAACAAAGGGACCTCTCAGGGCCTCGTTGGGGAGGCTCCAGGGGCCCGTTTTTGTCAGAGGATGTCCCACGCGAGGGCCCTGGTTTGGAATTCGACGCCCGATTTTCTGAGGATGTCCCACGCGAGGGCGCCCGTTTGAATTCGTCGCCAGATTCGCTGGATTTCCCGGATCTCGCCTGAAACAGAGCAGGGGGGCCATGGTGAGAGCCTCGTTGGAGGAAAGGCTCCCCAGGCTGGTTTTTTTGAGGGTGTCCTACGCGAGGGCGCCCGTTTGGAATTCGTCGCTGGAGTCGCCGACGTCGCCTGAAACGGAACAGTGAGGCCTCCGAGAGCCTCGTTGGGGAGGCTTGGGGAGCCGGTTTTTCTGAAGATGTCCCACGCGAGGGCGCCGGTTCGGAATTCGTCGCCAGATTCGCCGGATGTCACTGGATTTCCAAGATCTCGTTTGAAACTGAACAGGAAGGCCTCTGAGAGGCTCGTTGGGGAGGCTCCGGGGGCTGGTTTTTCTCAGGATCTCCCACGCGAGGGCGCCGGTTTGGAATTCGTCGCCGGATTCGCCGGATGTCCTGGGATTTCCCGGATCTCCCTTGAAACGGAACAGGAAGGTTTCCGAGAGGTTCCTTGTGGGGGCTCTGGGGGCCGGTTCTTTTGAGGATGTCCCACGCGAGGGCGCCGATTTGGAATTCGTCACCGGACTCGCCAGATTTCGCTGGCTTTCCCGGATCTCGCCAGAAACGGAACAGGAGGGCCTCTGAGAGCCTCGCTGGGGAGGCTCCCGGGGCCGGTTGTTTTGGGGATGTCCCACGCGAGGGCGCCCGTTTGGAATTCGTCGCCGGAGTCGCCGGATGTCGCCGGATTTCCCGGATCTCGTCTGCATCGGAACAGGGCGGGCGGGCGGCGGGGCCATTGCCTCGCGCGCCAGGGGTCAAGATGACGTGAGTTCCACAGAAACTCCTCCTCGCATAGTAGAGTTTCACGACAGATCCACAAAAACTCCCTCTTCCCTCAAACAATCAGTCGCTTCTTTCGCAAAGTGGGCCAAGCATCGGCTCCAGAGAGAGCCCGGCCCTCGACGGAGCGGGTTCTGGGCAAGGTTCCTTCAGGAGTTTCTGCTCTGTGGTGCCTCGGGCGGGTGGTCAGCACGTCAGGGCCAGGGCAGAGGTCAATCCCTGGTGTCCCCGAGATCTCGCTGCCAGATTGTTGAGACTTTGAAGTCAATCCCTGGGGTCCCCGAAACCTCGCTGCCAGATGGCAGGGGCAGGCTGTCCCTGGAAGCCGAGAGCAGGTTGTGTCCCCAGGAGCTGGGGACACGTCGCCCCCCAGATTCCGGGAACTTTGCATCCCCTGATTCCGGGGGCAGAGTTCCCGTAGCTGGTGATGTTGCCAAAGGTCTCAGCTCGTGCCGAGCGTGTCGCTGCTGCTGTGTGCGGAGACTGTTGTTGGTGGTGGTGTTGTTGCTGCTGCTGCTGTTGTGGCTGTTGTTGGTGATGCTGTGGTTAGAGTTGTTGCTGTTGTCGTTGATGTTGTTGATGTTGTTGTTGTTGTTGGTGTTGTTGTTGTTGTTGGTGGTGGTGGTGGTGGTGGTGGTGGTGGTGGTGGTGGTGGTGGTGGTGGTGGTGGTGGTGGTGGTGGTGGTGGTGGTGGTGGTGGTGGTGGTGCGGTTGTGACGCAATTAATCGTCGATTCCCCCGAAAATATTGGAAAATATGGGAAGTTGGGGGGAAGACGAAAACCCAGAAAGTATGGGAATATATGGGGAGTCTTGTTCTTTGTGTCTATTGATTTGTGTGTTCCAGGGCCCCTTCACACCAGCGGGACGACCGAAGCAGGGAGCGGCAAGTCCACGGGAGCGGAGCAGCGCGATGCCGAGGCAGAGCAGCGCGCGCAGGTCACACGAAGGACGGTGCAGGGAGCAAGGACTCGGAGCCAGGGCAGCGACCGCGCACGACGTCGCAGCACGAACAAACGAGCGAAGACCAGCAGCAACGGAAAGGAGGGACACGTGCGGGCCGACCAAGTGTTCGCGATGTTTGGGGAGGCGGTCGGCCACCGAAAACTCCCGATCTGGTTTGGCCGAGACGTAGTTTGACCGAGTCTATTTCTATCGAACGGAAAACCTGATCTAGGAGCGTGCTAGTGAACCCCCCTCGCTCTTGGAATTCTGCAGGGCCAGAGAGGAGCGCGAGGTGAAGGTCGAAGAAGAAGACAGAACGGCACTTGTTTTCGGAGGTCCGTGCGGGTTTCCGAAAGTTTATGTTTGTGTGTTTGTTTTATTTGTTCTTCTAGAAAACGACGAGGATAAGCAGGAGGAGCAGACGGTCCCCCGGGGCTCGATTCCCGTCTGCCCAGGGTCGTCCGTCAGCACGCGGCAGGGTGGTGTTTTCGCCTCGTCGCGAGGAGGAGGAGGAGGAGGAGGAGGAGGAGGAGGGGGAGGATGAGGAGAAGGAAGGGGAGGAGGCGAAGCGGGGCATTGCCAGGAGACGAGCCAGGGGAAGCGCGGCGGTACGCACGCGAAAGATTGCGCTTTAGGCTCTGGGGAAGTCTGACAGAAGGGGCGGTCCTCTTGCCCTGGTGCAGCCCCCTCCCCCGAAGGCAGGCATCCCAGACACCAGCTCCGCCTTCCCGCCGAGGATCGCATCCACGGGCCCACCCCGGCCAGCTGATTACGGTCAAGCCGTTGAAATAAGGAGCAGTTCAGGTGCAGGGAGTTTGCGTCTAGGCCCAGTGACCTATTCGTGACCGAGGCTGACCGTGGCCAGAATGGCTCCTTCGTTCCTCAGTCAGCGTTCCGTATGTTACCACGATGGTTATCGTTACCTAGTAATTTACAGTGTTGGGATCAGCGCGTGCGACACAGCTCAGCAGTGGAACTGAGTAGGCTCTATCGTTGCTCGGCCAGACGCGCGAGGCGAAGTTGGGAGCCCAGTGTCCACAAGACCGCCCGAAGCACATCACCGCACACCGCTACTGTAGGTTTGCGTCGTGCCGGCGCGGCGACGCCCCCAGCACGAGCGCTCGAGGTTCAACGTTGGCGGCGGCCTGGGATCGGCCGACACCGAGCGATCTTGCGCTGTGAGATGCCGCGATCGTTCAAAGCTGAACGGTCCACGCGGTGTCAGAAATCAACGACCAGGTCGTCACGACACGAACCTGCCGCAGGCACATCGAGCATGTTCCCCCTACGCCCTCTCCAGGCCTCACTTCGTCTCCATCGACTCGATTCGGTTCGAATTCGATCGATTCCGGTTCCGATTCGATTCGACTTCGAATTCCGATTTGGATTTCAGTTTCTCAATGGATGCTTTATTGTTTGCCGAATTCTGCCGACTCGACTTCTCTGGACTTGGCTACCGATTTCCGATTCGTTTCGATCCCCGGTCCGACTTATCGGTTCGATTCACGCAGCCGATCTCCAGGCAGCTTGCGAGTTCTGGGCGTCTGGGCGTGTCGCTTCCGCATCAGCTCGCCACCTCTTCAAGACGAGAGTTCCATATTTGCACGGATCTCTTGAGCATTGCTTCCACTGTCCAGCACCAGCGTGCTTGGCCAGGGCCATCCTGGGCGGTTGGCGGACAGACCCTCCCCGCTTCGGCCAGGAGGGCGTGTGCACCAGGACCCAAGATGGCCCTGGCCAGGCACGGCAGAGGTTCGGTATCGTTTGACCAATCCCCATCCCCAACCCCTTCGAGACCCCCACAAAATTACCACCCCAGTTGGGGATACACCCCTCGAAACCCGAAGGGAACGGCCTATCTCCCCATCTAGGGGGTAGATCGGCCAGTGGGGCACAGGCCACGCCGCTGGGGATGGGGATCGGTGAAACGATACTCAGTGGTGCAGAGATGCCCCCCGCGATGACGAGGCCGAGCTGCCACCGCTGGTCGTCGAGGAGAAGCGCTGCGGTGACCCCGGCGAGTCCGACCTCCGCGGCCCGCCCGACGTCGAGGGCACCGGGCACACCTCGAAGGACGCACGCGCACGGGGCACGCGGCCTTTGGCACCCCCGCATG